TATATATATATATATACACACACACACACACACACACACACACACACACGCACATACACATACACACAATTGTAAATAAATGTTAAAGTATGTAAATATACATTTAAATATTAAATATTAATATGAATGCATTACAAATAATGTAAAATTCTACATAAAATTAAGGAAATCTTACAACATTTGGCTGATTTTCATAACACATTTTATTTTAGATCAAATGAGTTGTACTTTGTTATATTGGGCTATTATATATTCCTAATAATTAATATTTATAATGTTCTAAAATTATATTATGCATATATAATATTATGTAATGTAATATAATTTAAAAAAATAAAATAAATAAAAATCCCAATCAGATCAAATGAGAGATGAGATGTCATATCAGTTTTGACTCTGACTTTGAAATACAATTAAAAAAGTGACACAATCCAGACTGAATCCATGTAGCCTACATATGTATATGTACCGTGAGAGAGCAATATGAAATCAAAGCATACACAGTCCCAGAAGCCATCAGAAACCTCTTCTCCACTCATATGTCACCCCAACTCTCCGTCAGTTTGAAATGTCAGCGGCATCAATCTTCAAGCAGAGAGTACTGATATGTCTAACCCTGCATGAAGTTCAGGACCCCAGGTAATAAACATCCTGACAGCTGAGACGACCCTTCAGTCTTTTAGCATTGCCAAAAACACAGATGAGAAGAAAATCTGAGCCATGTACACACACACACACACACACACAGTGTCTCAGGAGCTCTCCAGCGTGGTAGAAATGGTGTAGATCTGTGTCTTCAGCCTCTTCTTCATCTCTCTGATCATTTGACAGAGGGCCAGAGGGTAGCAGCAGTATACCGTAGTCCAGTCCTCACACACACTGCCCTGGAGACACACACAGGACACTCTAATGTATTCTTCATCTAATATAGCTAGACAAATCAGGGTTTGTAGATTTCTAAGTAAGGATATGTTTCCCTGATATTGATTTAACACCCCCACCCAAGTCAAGGAATCTACTTATGGGATTTCATTTAAGGAATCTTCATTCACTGTCAAATACTGGATATGTTTTACCTCTTAGCACAAGAAGGTTATGCCATGATAAATCAAAGACAAATCTCTACACCTAGTCTACACCTAGAGGAAATATTGTAAAAATTCATTGTTCAGCGGAAACTCCAGTCCATAGTAATATCTGAGTTGAGTTGTTGGTTTACACATTAGGGTGAATTTTCTGGCATGCACATCCATCTTAGACTGAACGTAGCTGGCACATTCCCAGGAAACATTGCCATTTATGCTAATGGTATTCTCATTTTTTTTTTTTTTATCAATCCATTTCAAAGGGTTACCAATAGCACTACATTAGTTCAATTTCACAGTAAGTTTGGAATACATTAACTGAATGAGTTACTGAGCATAAACACTGAAAGGATAAGTCATTTTTGTTGGTATCATTTAGTAAAAATAAAAGTTTGCAAAACTTGGTATGGGGTTAAAGTTCACTGCAAAAATGCTGAATAATTGTCTTAAAGGGATAGTTCACCCAAAAATGAACATTTGATGTTTATCTGCTTACCCCCAGGGCATCCAAGATGTAGGTGACTTTGTTTCTTCAGTAGAACACAGACGAAGATTTTTAAGTCAAACCGTTGCAGTCTGTCAGTCATATAATGGAAGTGGATGGGAATCTGTGCAAAAAACTGAACAGTATTTACAGGCGCATCTCAATAAATTAGAATGTCGTGGAAAAGTTCATTTATTTCAGTAATTCAACTCAAATTGTGAAACTCGTGTATTAAATAAATTCAATGCACACAGACTGAAGTAGTTTAAGTCTTTGGTTCTTTTAATTGTGATGATTTTGGCTCACATTTAACAAAAACCCACCAATTAACTATCTCAACAAATTAGAATACTTATTAAGACCAATAAAAAAAACATTTTTAGCCTTCTGGAAAGTATGTTCATTTACTGCACATGTACTCAATACTTGGTAGGGGCTCCCTTTGCTTTAATTACTGCCTCAATTCAGCGTGGCACTGCTGAGGTGCCCAGGTTTCTTTGACAGTGGCCTTCAGCTCATCTGCATTTTTTGGTCTCTTGTTTCTCTTGTTTCTCATTACAATACCCCATAGATTCTCTATGGGGTTAAGGTCTGGTGAGTTTGCTGGCCAGTCAAGCACACCAACACCATGGTCATTTAACCAACTTTTGGTGCTTTTGGCAGTGTGGGCAGGTGCCAAATCCTGCTGGAAAATAAAATCAGCATCTTCAAAAAGCTGGTCAGCAGAAGGAAGCATGAAGTGCTCCAAAATTTCTTGGTAAACGGGTGCAGTGACGCTGGTTTTCAAAAAACACAATGGACCAACACCAGCAGATGACATTGCACCCCAAATCATCACAGACTCTGGAAACTTAACACTGGACTTCAAGCAACTTGGGCTATGAGCTTCTCCACCCTTCCTCCAGACTCTAGGACCTTGGTTTCCAAATGAAATACAAAACTTGCTCTCATCTGAAAAGACGACTTTGGACCACTGGGCAACAGTCCAGTTCTTCTTCTCCTTAGCCCAGGTAAGACGCCTCTGACGTTGTCTGTGGTTCAGGAGTGGCTTAACAAGAGGAATACGACAACTGTAGCCAAATTCCTTGACACGTCTGTGTGTGGTGGCTCTTGATGCCTTGACCCCAGCCTCAGTCCATTCCTTGTGAAGTTCACTCAAATTCTTGAATCGATTTTGCTTGACAATCCTCATAAGGCTGCGGTTCTCTCGGTTGGTTGTGCATCTTTTTCTTCCACACTTTTTCCTTCCACTCAACTTTCTGTTAACATGCTTGGATACAGCACTCTGTGAACAGCCAGCTTCTTTGGCAATGAATGTTTGTGGCTTACCCTCCTTGTGAAGGGTGTCAATGATTGTCTTCTGGACAACTGTCAGATCAGCAGTCTTCCCCATGATTGTGTAGCCTAGTGAACCAAACTGAGAGACCATTTTGAAGGCTCAGGAAACCGTTGCAGGTGTTTTGAGTTGATTAGCTAATTGGCATGTCACCATATTCTAATTTGTTGAGACAGTGAATTGGTGGGTTTTTGTTAAATGTGAACCAAAATCATCACAATTAAAAGAACCAAAGACTTAAACTACTTCAATCTGTGTGCATTGAATTTATTTAATACACAAGTTTCACAATTTGAGTTGAATTACTGAAATAAATGAACTTTTCCACGACATTCTAATTTATTGAGATGCACCTGTAATGGTTTGGGTTACTGTAATTCAGCTTTGGATTTGAATGCACTGTAGTAAGGAATGAAGCAGGGAGTTAAGGTCCTTCGTGAGTATTTTATTTTACGCTTGTGCTATAATTTGAAGTATTTCATAGTTTTAGTAAAATATCCTTCAAGAATTGAAGGACTACTGGAATTGTTTTAAGATACGCAACCAAATTACACAATATCTGCCTAAAACATATTCTATTCAATAGTATCAACTTCATACATCCAGTGTATTCCCAAACAGACACAATTAAACACTGCCACCTAACCTAAGGTTTGCTCAGACTTACACTACTGTTGTTTTGAGGCCAGTAAGATTTTTTTAATCAGCAAGGATAGATAGATACTGTAGATACAAAGTGATTTCTAAACTGGAATACAAAGATCATGTAGTGACCAGAAGTGACCATATTGCATGTTAGTGCCTAAACCAACAGAAGTCTCATTATGAGGCTGTTAAACAGAATCTGGATGGTTATCAGAGATCATTGATTTGGTCAGTATGTCAAAGTTATAAATAAAAACACGATACAGATGGCATCTAGGAAGCACACATCATCACTTTTAAGTCGGTCTCTCTGTTTCTCCTAGCAAGAACAGTTTGGTTACACTATTTTTGCTTTACCACAGTTTAATCATTCAGATTAGAGTATGTGGTTAAGCTTAAAAAGCCAGGTAAGTAGGTAATTCTGTAGCACATATAAGCTATAGGTTCATAACAAGCAGAAGATATTGAGCAAAAGTTATCACATTAAGCGATCTGTAATGACTTTGATTACTTAATTTTAACTGTAGGGAATTAATTATTATTAATTCATTCAGGTTTTGATAGGACTCGGATCTGAATATTCAAAGTCCACCTGATTAAACCGATTTCAAACCTGTTATGTTACACTTTAAATCAAGGATCGTCCAGCGAGCCGTGACATCAGTATATTTTAACAAATCAAATATGTGTTTTACCTGGCCATGGGTTAACACAATTATGTAAGCTCTTAGAGGTAATTATTAATAGTACGCTACGAGCTAGGTAGCAAGCAAGGATCTTTTTGGCAACAGTTTTAACCTTGAAATTATATGACACCAACAATGATTCTTTATAAATGAAACATGAATTTATTTGCTATTCTAGATTTACATCACAACTAAGCTAAACACATACACACACAAACACATATACAGCTCAGAAAATTGAAGGACTGAGTTAACGGAGTTTCATAGTTCTACCTCGTTTTCACGAGTGATTTAGGTTCACCTGAAAGAACTCACAAACAGAGAATCTTTGCTTAATTTTTCTGCTTATCTAAATTCACCAGCGTCAGTTCATCAGATTAGAGAGTTGTTTGTACTTGCGTTTTGCTTTGGTAACAGCTTAAAAGCTGAGGCGATAAACAAAGTCACCTACATCTTGGATGCCCTGGGGGAAAGCAGATAAACATCAAATTTTCATTTTTGGGTGAACTACCCCTTTAACTATTAAATATTAGGTATTAATGTAACCTACCTGACACCATGCAGGGTTACTTTACTTTAACTGAAATAAACTAAAAACATAAACTTATTTTATTTCAGCTAGTTTTCAAGGGAACATTTCTAATTTCTGTTAGTTTAACTTGAAGTACTAAAATAATGAAACTAATTAAGACTAGACATTTAACTATAAACACACACCAAAATGACTATTTTGTCATTTTTTTCTAAAATTAAAGTGAAAACAAAAAATATAAAAATAAAATCTAACAAAAACTATAATAGTTTACCAATAATACTAAAATAATGCTAATGCCACAGTTATTACTGGTCAATATTTACAAATGTTTTTTTTTTCTGTAAAAATGTATTACTGTTATATTATTTTATATATTGTATATGATACTGCCTTACATGTGAAAATAAATATCTAAACATATTTTTAAAGGGAGAAATGTCATAGCATAACAAATATAGACAGGACATGCAGGGAAAAGGGCCACATTTAGCCTTTTCTTAAATGCATAAAACTTTTTTACTGCGCATGGATAGCAGTGAATGCATGGTATATTAATTACAATAAAAGTAAAATGATGACAAATGTAGACATACATTCGTGCATAAAATTTCTTACATAATGTTTCATTAAAGAAAAAAAGGGTCCCACTTTATATTGAGTGGCCCTAATACCTGTGTACTTACATAGTAACTAGATGTGTACATAGTATGTAACCACAGTGTAAGTACACATTGGTACATAGTATCTACAGCTGTAATGTTTGTGTAACTACACATATGTAACAACCCACTGAATGGTATGTGTCAATACAAATGTGTAACAGGACATTGGTAACAACAACACTTTAAAAAATATATATATTATTTAATTATTTTAATTAAAAAAATAATTAATTATTATTAAAATTAACACTTTTTGGTTATGAAGGTACAAATGTGTAACAGGGCTAACAGCACTTTTTGGTAAAGTAAGTGTTACACTTTTACCATGTAATTACTCTGATGTTACACAGCAGCGGCCAGTAAGTTAGGCTTTACATATAAATTGTGGTTGGTGTCCAGAATGTTACACTCTTATACATATTGTTGTTACAAAATGTAGTTATATATGTCTTTTTACACATTTGTACTTACACAAACCATTTGGAGGGTTGTTACATGTGTGTAGTTACAGAAATATTACAGCTCTAGATACTATGTACCAATGTGTACTTACACTGTGGTTACATACTACGTACACATCTAGTTACTAAGTACACAGATATATTAGGGCCACTTAATATAAAGTGGGACCCAAAAAAGTGCACACTAAACAGATCAGATCTATTTCAGAATCCTCTTCATTTTGGCAGTAGCAAATTAGCACGGTTTCCTGATTTTTGTAACATTTTCAGTTGAACCGAAAATCCCAAAAAGACTTTTGTAAGTTTCCAGCATGAATTTTTTTTTTAACATTACTGCAGAATCCTTACCCTGATTTTAAAGCGCTCTCGAATGCCCACCCTCATGGCGAACGTGGAGCCAGGCAGCAGAGGCAGACACATGCATTCTCCATACTGATGAGCCAGACTCAGGTCCAAACAGCACGGCACAAACGCACCCATCAGACCTGCACAGAAGAGGGGAGAGATGCTTATCTGCAACTAGTTTAACACTGCTGACATCAACTGACTACAAGAGGTTTCAGTTCTGATAAATATGACTTTGAAAGATAAAGCAATGTCCTTGCTTTATGCACAGGTTAACTTTAAATGAATGGAAAATCATTAACAATTTATAATCATTAAGGAATGTCATTAACTTTCGATGATTTGTGAAACGGTACACAAACCATTGGATTAGGAAACCAACAGTAATTATGCTTATAATGAATGCATAGTAATACATGGTGGAGTCCTAAGCCACTGAATAGCTGTAATTCAAAACGTTTGACTCATTAGATCAAGTAATTTATGCAATTAAGTAATTTATGTGATTTGTAAAGTATATAATCTGATGAAGCAGGATACCCTATATCTTTTGTACAAATGTAGTCAAGTTTAACTGTGACAAACTACAGTTTGCTACAGTAATACAATACAAAAACAGTATTTAAGGAGACATTTTATAATTAACAATGTAATCATCAAGAAATCTAATTAAATAGTAAATGTAACAATTTAGCTTAGGGACCAATTCTCATTATTAACTAGTTGCTTATGAGCATGCATATTACTCGCGTTTTGGCTGTTCATTAGTACTTCTAAAGCGCATATTAATGCATTATTCAGCATAACCATATTTTAGATCCCTAAATCCTACCCCACACCTAAACTTAACTACTACCTTACTAACTATTAATAAGCAGCAAATTTGGAGTTTATTGAGACAAGTTGATAGTTAGTTCATAGTGAGAAATGGTCCCCAAACTAAAGTGTGACCATAATAGGTTCTAGACGTTTTCTAAATTTTTACACAAGACCGCCAAGAGCCAGTCTTGGTCCCGAGCCGTTTTAGGGGGGCGTGGCAGAGTCTTAACTTTGATAAAGAATATCTCTTTGGGTTTGTGACTTTAGTCTTTGCAACTTCAGGGATCTTATCTATGCACAATCAGCTTGTAACACTCCAAAGAGAAAGGAAAAATTGAAATCGCATCATATGACCCCTTTAAGTCTTCCAGTTGCGACTTTGTTTCTCGTAGTTGCAACTTTTTAATTCACAATGTGACTGGTTTTCTTTATTGCAAAATCTCACTACTGTGACTTTCTCGCAAACATATCTCTCCCAATTTTAACTTCGCATCTCAAAATGTTACTTCATGTCATAATGCGACTTCATAGGGAGTACAGGTCTTGCAGTTGAGGCTTTGTCTCTCGTAGCTGCGACTTTCTATCTTGTGACTATTTCTCGCAAATGCAAACTTCTTTCCCAATTTTGACTTTGTATCACAATGCTACTTTATGTCACAAAGCGACTTTATATCTTTAAAGTGAGTTTAAAGGGTTAGTTCACCCAAAAATGAAAATTAGCCCATAAATTACTCACCCTCAAGTCATCCTAGGTGTATATGACTTTCTTCTTTCAGACGAATCCAGTCGGTGTTATATTAAAAATTGTCTTTGATCTTTGTAGCTGTTTAATGGAACTCAGCGGGTGTTGTATGCATCAGTCCAAAAGAAGTTAAATAAAAAGCTCCCATCCATAAAAATAAGTGTCTCACATGGCTCCGGGGGATGAACAAAGGCCTTCTGTAGCGAATCGATGCGTTTTTGTAAGAAACCAACGTTTATTCAAACTTTACAAATCCTCGTTTTGTACTTCTAATTAGTGACTGTTGTTTTGTTTTGATCTCTCCGCTGCGTTTCAGCGTGCGTCACTTCTGAGCGGCGCATGCGCAAAGCCGACCTCATACGACATCCACCCGGAACCGCTTCCAGTGTAGAACAGTGAGCGCAAGCTACATTAAAGTGATTATTACGTTTTAAATATGGATATTTTTCTTACAAAAACGCATCGATTCACTACAGAAGGCCTTTGTTCACTTCCCGGAGCCATGTGAGACATTTTTTTTTTATGGATGGGCGCTTTTTATTTAACTTCTTTTGGACGGATGCATGCAACACCCGCTGAGTGCCATTAAACAGCTTGAAAGATCAAAGACAATTTTTAATATAACTCCGACAGGATTCGTCTGAAAGAAGAAAGTCATATACACCTAGGATGACTTGAGGGTGAGTAATGTATGGGCTAATTTTCATTTTTGGGTGAACTAACCCTTTAAGTCTTGCATTTGAGTTTGTTTCTCAAACTGTGACCGTTTCTAGCAAATGCAAACATGCATCTCTCCCAATTTTGATTTTAAATCTCAAAACATTGCTTTATACATCACAATGAGACTTATCTTGTATTTCTAACTTTTTTTTTTTTTTTGTAGTAGCAACTTGTAACCCACAATGTGACTTTATACGTAGATCTCATAATGCCAATATCAATCCTCTCTCAAGCACTTCCTCTTACATGTGCTGGTGTCACCGCACACTTCAAACAGTCCTGTGCTCCAGTCTCCTCCTGTTTGAGAGATAGTGGTCACTGTTGTCGTGGTCTCTCCGAGGCCAGGTTGAGTCAGAACAGGAAGTTGCATCTCCTCACGACCTGTTGGGTTTGCTTCAATATCTTTTCCTCCAAGAGGGTCCATTTGGATCTGACGCCGATACAAAAAAAGCAGTTTCACAACAGAAACACAGGTGCACACTCCTATAAAAAAAGTCCTTACCTGACCTAAAAGTTTTGACAGTACTGTGACATTAAACAAATGAATGCATACTAATGAGGTGAACACTTACATGGTGAATGTCAAAGTGGCTCAGAACGATCCCTCACAATGACAACAGACTAAGGGAAAAGACAGGGGTGAGTTTCCTGTGGTGACAGTGGTGTGTTCTTTCTGATAGCCGCTTGGCCGAGAAGCCCTGACAGAAAGCTGCTGTGAGCTGATAAGCCTTCATACTCACACACACAACACACAGGAGAGTCCCACACAAATGAAAACACCTCTCAAGTGCATTCAAATACTAACTCTCCCAAGTCACAAACAGAAATGTATCGCACATACAATTCTAAATTCCTCTCAAATACCATCATGCATTTTTGGGACTGCAGGCCTACTTACATGTATCCCACTGGTTCATACAATTCACACACTCACAAGAAATATTAAACAAAAGCGCGCAAATGACACCTCAAATGTGCAACAAGAGCTTACCAGCGATCCAGGCTTTGTGTGATGTTACAGTGCAGAATTGCACGTTCTCTTGAGGTTAATGTCTCGCATCACTTCCTTCTGCACTGAAGCTAACGCACATCAAACTGGGTCACATCCACTAATGAAACACTGCATGTAGCTGTCACATGTAGAACGGCTCGCTTATGTGTTTGCCGCCCATATCTGTTCAAGTGCATGCAAGCGTCCATCTGAACATGTTTCTTTGTGGCTGATCTCGTCTTCACTTGCATCCGACTGTAAAAATGAGCCGTCTTCGTATCTGCTATGGCCTTCTTGGCCGGAAAATAGTTATATCCCTCATATCACTTAGTTGGCACATTTTCAGTGCTATTTGTGTCTTAACTTTTTTTTGTTGCCATTTTTTAACATATGGCCTTTAAAGAAAATTAATATTTTCTCACCCCAGTCTCAAAATACAATGGCCGTAACCACCAATGAATACGAGACTATCAGATTAGTGATTATCCAATATGGTTTTATCAAAGTAACCAATAGTTATCATTACTAACCCTAAAGATAACCCAAAGTTTTCACCAAGGCTACAGTACTATTAAATAAAACAGTACTATTGTGAAATATTATTACAATTTAAAATGACTGTTTTCTATTTCAATACATTTTAAAATGTAATTTATTGCTGTGAACAAAGCTGAATTTTCAGCATCATTACTCCAGTCTTCAGTGTCACATGATCCTTCAGAAATCATTCTAATATGCTGATTTGGTGCCCAACATTTCTTCTTATTTTGTTAATGTTGAAAACAGTTGTGCTGCTTCATATATATATATATATATATATATATATTATTCAATGATTATTTGAGTTAAAATTACATTCAGTTATCTGTCAAATATCAAAAAGTCATATTGTGAAATATTATTAAAGTACATACAATTTAAATAACAGTTTTCTATTTTAATATATTTTAGAATATAATTTATTCCTGTGATAGTCTTCAGTGTCACATATTCAT